CAATTTTGAAGCAATAAAAAAATAAAAATAATTTTTTCTTATTAGAGACAAATAATATGCTTTTAACGCAGTCCAAAACTGTAAAATATTAAATATGTCAGAACATGATGGAGCAGCTTGTATAATGTTTATTTCTTAATTTTTCTGAAATATTCTAATTAGTATCTTAAGTTAGTTATCTTAAATTTTGTATTTAGTCATTTATTTTAAATTATTTAATTTATACTTTTATATTGCGAAATGCATAGAACAAAATATATCGGATTATTATATTCGTAATTACTTGATTCAAAAATTATTAAAAAATTGTCATTTTAGTTAAAATGTCATTATTATTTGTCAAAAAACGCGTTACAACAATAGCACATAAAATAACCAAGTTGTTATACTTATCTATATAGCCGAGCACAAAAGCAGCAAAAAACAAATTTCTGGATTTTTAAAAATAAATTTTTCGTGGAGTAAAATTTCAAATTTGACAAATTTCACTTAAAATATTTTAAATTAAAAACTCTAAATAGGTTTAAAAAAAAAGATTAAAGTTCACTGTGACACAACCTCCTCTAATAATTTTTTCCTTATTATTTATTACTAAGTATCTTTTTCACGGAATTGTGGACATTCCTTTTTGAGAAACTTTGTCTCTTAACTTACTACCTAGAAATTGGAGCCACTGAATAGAAATATTCTATTTGGGATCAATTAAGTAATAGTATTTTGTATTAGTATTTCTATATATTTAACAAAGTCAAATTGGTTGTTTAAATTTTTTTAAGTCCCTTAAGGTAAGTTTTTTTTTGTAATACATCGTTTTGTATTGTTATTCGAAGAACAATCCATTAGTACAACGGCAACGAGTACCAATACAAATATATCATTACTACCACACATATACTTCGTGAACTTCTTGAAAAACTTAAGTATCTCGCATAAGTGACATGTCTATTAGTACAGACAATCTAACCACCCAAGCAATCCAAACACTCAAAACACTTTTTTTTGACAATTTGTCAATGACTTGTTTTCTGTCTTCATTTTGTTATGTTGAAATCAATATTATTATGTTAAAATTATTATCTTTCATTTTATGCTGACTCGCTATTTTATGATTATTTAAATCAAATCAAATATTAATTAATTGATATTTTATAGACCAAAAATAACATTCATCGAATTTCCGATTACGGTAACCATATTTTTAAAATTCTACCCTTCATGAAAAAAGAAATTTCAAAAATATTAGCAATGATTTTAACTTGACAATTATTTTCAAAAAAAATATTTTTTATCGCTTTACATAGAAATTTGATTATTTTATTAAAAAAAAATTGCTTATAACGTCCATTATAAGTATTAAAAACTACTGGAAATTATGAAACAACAGAATTCTTGAAGGAAACGTATTTGTTGAAATACATAACGAGTATAAATAAGGTATTTTAATTACCCGCTTGTTCTAAACTTAATGATGATTTTGCGCAATTAAAATTAATGATTAATAGCCGTTTAACTTAAGTCTAATCAAATTAATAATCATAATTACTGAAGCATCTCCGTTATGTATATTATATCAAAAAAACAATAACTGTGTTACAAATAGACAGAGCATATTTATTTGTATATTACATGATTTTGCAACAATAAAAAAATTTACTTTAATATTTTTTGGCTGGTAAAAAAAAAAAAAATAACTTAAAAAGCAATAAATTTTTATTTTTAATGTTTAATTTTGATTTAAATTAATACCTCCATGTTAAAAAACCATATTTAAATAAAAATTCAAGAATGTTTAACTCTTTTAGGATTTTATTTTATGCATGATTTTATTTTCTTACAAAATTTAATTTTAAATAAATATAAGTCATAAAATATATAAAATACAATTCCATTCAAAAGAAAGTTTCAAATATAAAGTTTTAGACCTTAAATTTTTGCATCGTATGATCCCTTTTTTCGGAGTAAAAGTATTTAAATACTTTATTTAATTGATAAAGGATTTTTTAGTATTTATGTTTACATATTACATTTACAAATATAAATGACGATTGATTTATCGTTAACCACTAGAGTTTTAAAATAATAATAGTTAACAGAATTTTTTTTTTAAATATATTCTTATTAGTATTCTTTATTTCTAAAATTTCAAGTGGTTAAACATTTTATCCCTTACTCATTATTAGATTACCAACTTAATTTTTTTATTGACAACATACATATTTAACTAGTTTATAAAATATAAAATGATCCAATTAAGAAAATTTTGGTTGATAACCACTTTAAGAACACTACTTCAGAAGTAAATAGCATTTTAAAATCGTACTAGAGGTGAAGTGTTGGTGTGACTATTTTTATCAATAGACATTTTTCCTCCCGTCTATGAATAAATATGCTAATACGTTCCAAAGTATTGGTTCAAAAGTTATTATTAAATGGTCATTTTCTTAATTTAGTTCACTTTATATCTTATAAGCCAGTTATACTTAAAATGCCTTTTTAAAAAAATCAATTTGGTACCTCTGTAAGGAACTGGGTAGGAGAACATTTTTTTAAATATATTTTTTTTCAGGTAATCGTTTTTAAATTATGTTTAACTTAAAATAATAATAAATTTTTTTAAGCAATAAATTAAACTAATCTATTGGTTACATTCTAACACTTCCATTACTGTATATATTTTTAACGCAATAAAACATATGCNTTATTGGTTACATTCTAACACTGTATATATTTTTAACGCAATAAAACATATGCATTAAACATAAAGAAAAATAATCTATTACTTCAAATGTTAAACAAATGTTAAAAATCTATTTATGGCTTTGGATGTTATACCTAAGCATGTTAAAAACCCTACATGAATATATTAAAATTTTTCTTTTATCCCTATCTTTTTCTACATTTAATCAATCAAATTCATATTTTAATATACCAGACCACCAGCCACCAGGCACCAGGTATATATTTAATTTAGATTAAAAGCTAAATTTCACAAACGTAGGAGAGGGTGGGGAAAGTTGACATCAATAAGATTTAATTAAATCTCTAAAATAAAGTATTTACCGTAAAAAATTTGAAATTAGGTAGAAATGCTACTTGATATATTGAAACTAATTGGTAAAAATATTACTAATTAATTTTAATTATTTAAGAATTATTAATAATTTATAACAATTCTTTTTTTCTAATTAAATGTTAATTAAAAAAAAAAGTCAAACTAGTCGTCTACCTCCACTCCTGTGTCAAGTTAACATAACTTAACTCGATTTATTCTTAAAAAATGTATCATATATGTTGTCCCCAATTAAGGGGGAGTCATTTCTTGTCCCCTTAAGAAATGTTGGATGTGTTATACAGTGAAACCACCTTTCGACGGTCCTTCTATTAGTCAGAAACCTCTTTTAAACGAAAAAATACTATGGTCCTGTGTCTTTAATAGATAAAATTTAACCTCTATTAAATGGAAACCTTCTCTTAACAGAAAATAGTTTGATCCGCAGAGTTATAGTTTGTAAAGTTTACCGAGTAATTAAAAAACAAAAATGGAGTGTGAAAAATATTTAAAAAGAAAAATTGACCTGATGTACCTTTATGCTCGTGGATAACTATTACGTTTATTTTTTCATTACTGAGCTAGTTCAACTATCAGTTGAATATTCAAGTTATTTTATATGTAAATACTATTTTTTATAGAAATGTTATGTTCAAATAACGAGAAAAAACCAACTTTCCATATTTCACTATCGCTCATAAATCTCGTCTGGTACTCCGCTAATTCGAATCATACTTAAAATCATTGATAATTTTTATTCGTGATATTTTTCTATAGCTAAAGCAGTAAAATAAAATATCATTTATTCACATTCAAGTTAATATGTTATGCTGCAAAACAACAATAACATATCGTTCTTGCAAAAAAGATAAAAGAACGATTTAAAACATATGTGTTCATTTAAATTATTTGACACCGTCCCGCGTCGCAGAGTGATACCCGGTGTCCCTCGACCTGCACCACTCGTATCAGCCTTCGCCCTATTGAGGGAATTTGGTAGTCCGAGTGACGAACACCGCGTGCCATACGCTACGGTGCAAAGTCCAGCAAGTGCCGCACGGCCGGCGACGACGACCGCCGCAATTGATAGGCGAGTCTCTTCCCGTCGTCAAAATGACGACGTCGAGAGTGTACGCCATCGGCTTCGGACGTGCCGCACGACTTGCACGGCGAACCGCACCGTCGCCCACAACACTGCTAACCTTTTGACGACGAGGACTACACCGGACACCGTGTAGCCTACGCCGGCGAAAGTGCCGCGATTTATACTATTACTGTGTACGTATTTCCGGTTTATTTTTTTTGAAAATAATCTGTCAAAAATGAATAAAAAACGGCCCACTACTTCGTCAACATTAGAATATTGTTTAAATACAAAGAAACCGTCCTGTCCCAAGCGTTGACTTGTTCTACCATACCATATGGCAATTAATTATGACAGTTGATATATGAGAATTTATAAATACTTCTAGATACTCTTCAATTTCTCTTGCTCTATATTCTCCTACAGAGTATTTAATCTTATTTGTAGATAAAAATATTTTGTGTTTAATTTTTAGTTCAGAAATTCGAATTAAAGTAAATTTTAGCGTCTTTTAAACTATAAATTACTCAATTATAATAAGGATGAGATAAACTTTTTCATTACAAACCTTTATAAGTTTTTATACGTAAAATTAAATATTTTATTTGGGGAATATAAAAGAATATGTTCTGTCAATTCAGTAGTCAGTTACGAAAATTACTAAAAAAAAATAACATCTAATATGGACAATATTGTGTATATTTTTATTCATAATACTTTTTACAGTTTCACACACATTTTTTTGTCAAGTCTGTTCAAATTTACCAATAATAATTTTACCTTATCTTAAAAATCTAAAATATTTTTATTGTAATTCATTCATACTATTTGAAAACTTTTAATTCACTGTTTCCCTAAATAAAAAACAACCGTTTTCCTAATATTAGATAAATATATTAATTCTTTTAAATTTCTTACATTTCATTATCTTATTGTTTTTATTTTAAACTAATGAACAGGACTTTTTTTTATATGTAAATGTTTTATAAAATAAAGTTTTTGCATAATATATTCATGTATAAATCGTATACATAATCGATTATTCTTACTTTTGCTTTACTCTAATAATTCTAAAATCGTCTGTGATACAAAATTTATATTACCATCTAAAAATACCAAACAATTATTCCAACTGATTTTGTTTGATAGACTGCGTGTATGATCTCTATAATTAATATTCTCAGATATGATTTTCTTATATTTTGTAATCTCATCTACTAACTCACAAATTATATTAAATGTATTATTTGGATTTAAAATATTTTCTAATTTTATATAAATAACATTAAAAATATATTTTATATTTTCGAATAAGTCGTTATTTAATTCCACTTTTATTCCATGTTTTTCAAAAATCATTTTTTTTATTTTTTGTAAATCGTTCAAATACTCATTTATCATTATTCTTAGTTTAGATGAGTTATATTGATGAATTTTATAGTTATTTATAAAATTACTTTTTGAAATTTCTTTATCGAAATCCATAAGACATAAAGAGATAATACACAAGACACCAACTGCATTATGTGCTACTTTTTGAATCATTGATGTAATTACTAAGTTTGAAAACTGGAATAAAACTTCCATATCATTTTCAGATCTTATACAATCGTACCACTTTGATTTGTTGCATTTAGAAAATACCTATTAAAAAATTCAACTGAGTTAAATCATCGTTCTTAAAATTTTATTATTATTTCAAAAAAAAATTTTTCATTTGAAAATGTCTTGTTATTATATAATTAAAGAAATGTGTTAAAAACTGTGTTTTGAATTTTTACATAATAATTTTCAGTTACAGCTAAATTTTATTAACTTTGTTTATGATAAAATTGAAACTTTTATATCTTATGGATACTTTTGTACATTTTAATGGCTATATTGCGGAGCTATCATTTAAAATTAATACAACATTTTTAAATACTTAATGTGTTATATTATTCTTTTTATATTATATTTTTTAGTACGAACCAAAGATTTACTCTTAAAATAACAATTTTTTAATAATCAATTTAGACACATTAGAAACATTTGCTCAAATAGACTTTTGTAAAGAAAATTCAAAATGTATTTTTGATGTGAAAAATAAATGAATGAACTTTTTTGTAAGAAATCTTTTCTATTGAAATATTTATTTAATTTGTTCACCATTTAATTATAAAATAAAAATTTATCATATTAATTTTTTCTAGTTTTATATAAGGTTATTGTTTAATTATAATTATAATAATTAATCACTACAGTTTAAAAAAAGTATGTTGCATAAAAGAAGAATATAAATAGTAATTTTCTTAAGTAAATTATAATGATCCATACATTTTTTAAAAAGTTATTGCATTATAAAATTTAATTTAAAAAAGAATTTTTTTAAAAAATCAAATTTTTTTAGTAACATAAATATCCATTTCACCGTGAAAACTAAATACAGTCCGAAATTTTTTTTCTTCTATAATAAATTATATTACATAAGATTTAATTTAAGATATATATAAAAGTGTCAGTATTTCCGGAACACTTTCAAAGATTCAGCTGAAAAAGTTCTACTTTCTACATGCATTTTTAAGTTTATAACTTTTTTGTATTAAGGGATATATTATTTCTCATAAAAATAATAATTGACCTATACATTTTTGGAAAAATTATAGAAATATAAAGTTAATAATGTAAAATATAAAATCAAGAATTTTATCATAGAAATAGCATACGGTAGCCATTTTCAGCATGAAGACAAAATATAGTCCAAAATTTTTCTTTCATAATAAAATATATTACATTAGCTTTAATGTAAAGTATATATAAAAGTGTCAGTATTTCCGGAACACTTTCAAAAGTTAAGTTGAAAAAGTTGTAATTTTGAATTCACCCTATGGGCAGGTAAAGGGTCAGATTTATGAAAAAAATATACCAAAAGATAGGTAAAGATATCATGCATCTATAAAAAATAACTCAGTACAGGGGTATCGCGGCGAAGAGGTGAGTGACATCTATAAAAAATAGATAAATTATATTACTTGTTTATTTTCAAGCAGAGTATAATTGCTATCAATGAGTTCTATTAATGATTTTTTTGCATTGTAAATAACTTTTTTAAATTTTAAATTATTTGGATGAAACCATGAACCAGTAATTGAACAAAATCTTTCAGACTGTTGATTGATTTTTGTCCGCATTTGATGAATATCATTTAGTAGTTCTTTGTAAACTCCATTTTTATCGGATGGTCTAGGAATTTTAGTTTTATCTTCGATTAATTGAAGTAATTTTTCACTTGTGTATGGTTTATCAACAGAAGTAATGAAAATATTTTCTAGATCACTAAAGAACAAATAATTTTTGAACAGTGTTTTGCCATATTTTATATTAGCTCTGTATATAAACTCTAACAAACAATGACCTTTATGTGAACTTAACGACAAAAGATTCACCCAGCTGACTATTTCTACATACTTGTTATCTCTTATACTCGAAATAATTACCAAATAGGCCAGTTGCGTGTATTCCTGCATAGTCGAACTGAACTCTGTGTAAACATCATTTGCTACTTGCCGAAAAATTTCGTCAGTAAAGTTATCGATACATTTTATACAGTTTGTGATACTGTTATCACACTCTTTTTGTTTAACATTACTTAGATCAGTATTCTGCGATATCAATGCTTGAGGTATCAAAGAATCCAGTGATACTTGTTCCTCATAAGGTCGTTTTCTGACTCCTTGAAATAACTCTTCATCATTAGTGGCCTTTACAGCCACTATAAATGAAATACAATAAAACAAAGTCATCTTAATTACTTCAAAGTTTAGATTGTTGAATATCACCATTTTACTTATAGTTACTTTAGTGAGTATATTGTGTGTCAAATAAAAATTAAAGTGATAATTTATAGTACTTATATTTGAAAAAAAGAACTTAGAATGTATGCATAATACTATAAATCTAATCTATTTAAGACTTTACCATATTTATTTAAGGTATTTATTATATTCTATGGTTAATAATTTAAATAATTTATTTTTAAAATCATTTTACCAATAAAAAAAAACTTTTTAGATGGAATAACATATCGAGCTTAAATAAAATGTTTACAGGTCGATCGACTGTTTTTTATAATTATCTCTTTGTTCTTATAATACTAATTATAGGCAAGCGGCGTGCACAACATATAAAAATTCTAATCTGTGCGCTATTCTAAAATAGAACGTCGCTAAATATTACCCAGCTCTTATTTTTTTCTGAATGGTCAAATCAAGTGTCTTAAAAATAAATAAATCGACATTCGTTATCGAATCGTTAATATTTTATATAGACTATTCACTATTTAATAGCAAAAAAATAATTACAGCATTCTATATAATTTTCAAAAGTGAACACAAAAATATTCCCTTAGAATAATTTTTTCTTATAACAAACACGATGTATTAATTGGTTTGTAAAAATAAATTAAATTTTAATCTACATTTTTATAAAATCTTTATACAACGAAAAATGGGTGTAGTTATGATTAATAAATTGCACTCTATATCTTACATAGTTATTCTTATTTAAAAAAAATTATATTCTTTAACTTAAAATAAGTTCTTTGAAATGAGTGCGTTTTTAAAATAACATCTATTAATGTCTACTAAAAATTTTTTTTATTTTAGTGGTAAATTGATTTCAAATGTACACGTCGTAAAATTATTAACATTAAAGTATAATAAAATCCTTATATAAATATACAATAGTGTTAAATAGTTTAAATTTATATTATATGCATACAACCAAAGTTATTTTTATGAAATATACTCACTATAAATTACTGTTTTCAATTGACGTGGAAAATACTTACTAAAGTAACTATAAGTAAAAGAGTGATATTTAACAATTTAAACTTAATTAAGATGACTTTGTTTTATTGTATTTTATTTATAATAGCTGTTAACGGCATGAATGAAAAGTTATTCCAAGGAATCAATAAACAATCTTATCAGGAAGAAATTACACTGGAATCTTTGATACCTCAAGAATTGATATCGTTGAATACTCATCTGAGCAAAATTAAACCAAAAGAGTGTAATAACATCGGTAGCTGTATGAAATATATCGATAACACTACTGACGAAATGATTCACGGAATAGCAAGTGAGGTTCACAAAACGTTCAGTTCGACTATGCAGAAATACACGCAACTGGCTTATTTGATAATTATTTCGAGTATAACAGACGACAAGGACGTGAATATGACCAATTGGGTGAATCTTTTGTCGTTAAAATCACATAATGGACACCGTTTATTAGAGTATATTTACAGAACTAACATACAGTACGATAGCACACTATTCAAAATTTATTTGTTTTTTAGTGATCTAGAAAACATTTTTACTGCTTCTGTTGATAAACCATACACGAATGAAAAATTACTTCAATTAATCGAAGATAAAACTAATATTCCTAGACCATCCGATAAAAATGGAGTTTACGAAGAACTACTACATAATATTTATCAAATGCAGACAAAAATCAGTCAACTGTCTGACAGGTTTTGTTCAATTACTAATTCGTGGTTTCATCCACATAATTTAAAATTTAAAAAAGTTATTTACAATGCAGGAAAACCGTTAATAGAACGTATTGACAACAATTATACTCATCTTGAACATAAACAAGTAATATACTTTTAAAATAAATGTTTCATCTATTTCACATATATAATTTAAATACACTAAATTACAATTGTATTTCTATATTTCACTGTATACAATGTGATCTATTCATCACAAACAATCTGGTTACCCTCAAAATAAATAAAATATTGAAAAAAATTTTTTTTTAGTTAAATATACTTTTTTATTCATCACCTAATTATAATACGTTTTAGGATCATCTTTTATATCTATTAGGTCATTTGACTTTATATTTTTTATTAGCATATACATATTTAAGTAGCTTAGAAAATAAAAAATTGACTGATTAATAGTAACTTTTAAACCAGTATTTCAGAAGTTATTCTCATATTCATACATAGGCACTGTTCTGCTGGAAAATGTCAAGTAATAAAAATAGCAACACTTACTCCTCACCCTCAGACAATAGTTTAAATTGTTAATAACTTCTGAAATACTGGTCAAAAGTTGTAATAGACCATTAATTAGATTATTTTCTTTTTTATAAACGAGTTAAATATGTATATGGATATATAAAAATATAAAAATAAAATAATAATAAAAAATATTAAATTTTATTTATTATAAATTTAAAAAATAGAAATATAAAATATTTCAAAACACATTAAGTATTTAAAAATTTTTGTATTAATTTTAAATGTTAGCTCCCTAAAATAGCCATTAAAATGTACAAAAGTATCGATGAGATATAAAAGTTTAAATTTTCATAAATAAAGTTTATAAAATTTAGCTGTAACTGAAAATTATTATATAAAAATTCAAAACACAGTTTTTAACACATTTTATTAATTATATAATAACAAAACATTTTAAAATACAAATTTTTTTTTGAAATAATAAAAAAGGTTTAAGAACAATGATTTAACTCAGTTGAATTTTTTAATAGGTATTTTCTAAATGCAACAAATCAAAGTGGTACGATTGTATAAGATCTGAAAATGATATGGAAGTTTTATTCCAGTTTTCAAACTTAGTAATTACATCAATGATTCAAGAAGTTGCACAGAGTGTAGTTACTGATTTGGATGTAATTAGTTATGCGCTTAATGATTTGAAGAATAAAATCTCAAATGGTTTGGATGTAAATAATGATAGTATTAGTCGACATAAATCTAATAAACTAAGAATAATGATACAGAAATATTTAAACGATTTACAAAATATTAACAATTTAATTTTTGAAAAACATGGAATAAAAGTGGAAATAAATAACGACTTATTCGAAAAAATAAAATACATTTTTAATGAGCTTTATATAAAATTAGAAAATTTTTTAAATCAAAAAAATGTATTGAATATAATTAAGGATTTAAGAAACAAAATTCAAAAATATAGGGAAATCATATCAGAGAATAATAATGACTTTTATATGACCAATCTATTAAACCAAATCACTTGGAATAACTTTACGTCATGTTTACATGGTAACATGAGTTTTATATCACAGTTTATTTTAAAATTATTAGTATAAAACAAAAGTAAAAATAATCGATTATACATACGATATATATATACATGAATATTTTGTGCAAAAATTTTAATTTATAAAATATTTACTTATAAAAAAAGTCATGTTCATTAGCTTATAATACAAATAATATCTTAATAAATTGTCAAAAATTTAAATGAATTAATATATTTATTTAATATTTGATAAAACATTGATATTTATTTAGGGATATAGTGAATAAAAAGTTTTTGAGTAATTTTTATGAACCAAAAAAAAAACCCGGCACAGTGAGGTCTTGGCATAGTTGGGTCCAGTATAGATGATATCTGATAGTGATTAAAATCACTATCATAAAAAACGCTTCGATGCAAATCTATAGATAGTGTTTAATTTAAAAAAAAAATTTGTCAAAAAAGTAGGTCAAGTGAGAGCTGAGAAAATAAATGATAGCTACAAAAAAAAAACACATAGTAAAATAATATTAATATGAATTTCTTCTCACGAGAGGACACTACAGTAATGGGATCATTGATGTTTATTGAAGTTATTGAATCTAAATGAGATAAAAATCAAAAGAGTTAAACATTTTTTTCTAACTCAAAAAGAATTAAGAAAAAATTCAGTGCCACAGGCGTGAAAGACCCAAGTGTTTTCGTCTCAGAAACCATACGTCGCATTCGTCACTTGATAAAAATGGAAATTTAGCTAGTTCAAATTTCAAAGTTATTTTTCTCGACTTCAAAAGAAAAAGAAATTTAAATATGTTTAACTTTTTATACCATGTCAATTAGATTGATATAATAATGTATGAAAATCAGTGTAATCCCATTATAATAAAATAAAATACAAAACCAAGAGTTTTAACACTAAAATAGCATATTTTTGAATACAGTAGCTATTTTCATCATGAAGACAAAATAAAGTCCGAAATTTTTTTTTAATATTAAAGTATATTACATAAGCTTTAATTTAAGCTATATATAAAAGTGTCAGTATTTCCGGAACACTTTCAAAAATTAAGTTGAAAAAGTTCTACTTTCTATATGCATTTTAAAGATTTGAACCCCCCCTGTATTAAGGGAACTGATCCGATTTAAAAAAATATATCAAATTAAAGAGGTATATAAATATTATTTCTCATAAAAAAATCAAAAATTAAAAATCAAAAATCGAAAATTTTAACACAAAAATAGTGTTTTTTTAACTACGGCAACCGTTTACATGCAGAAGATAAAGTGTCGGGACAAATTTTTTTTTTTCATTTTATAGTACATAAAATAAGCTTTAATTTGATATATGTTTAAAGGACGCAGTATTTCCGGAACATTTTCAAAAATTAAGTTGAAAAAGTTAGTTTTTGTAAAAAAGTTGCAATTTTAAATCCCCCCCCATGAGCAGGTTAAGNATTAGTTTTTGTAAAAAAGTTTCAATTTTAAATCCACCCCCATGAGCAGGTTAAGTGTTAAATTTTCAAAAAAATTATATCAAATAAAAGGAAAATATCTAAGGTTTTAGTTTAAAAAAAAATTATGTTGATTTGTTGATTTTTGAAAAAGTTATGGAAGTTTTAAGAAAAAAAAGTGAAAAAAATGACAAAATTTGTCGATTTTTAAATTTGTAATTTTTTTGGATATTTCCCCCATTTGCGGGGAACGAGGGAAAATTTTTTAATTTTTAAGGGTAATGTCTTCAACTAGATACAATTTATGATCTTTTGACGTATTTTTAAAAGAAATCGGTCCAGTGAGAGCTGAGAAAAAGTAGTGACAAACACAAAAAAAAAAATAAACACATCATGGTAAAATTAATACCTTCTCAGCTTCGCATCGAAGCTAAATGAATTGATTACCATAACTTTTAGTTCAACATGCAAGTTTTAAATTGTCATCATTAAATAGAAAAAAATGGTATTGTTAAGATTAATATGCAGTCAGTGTTGGATATAAAGTTACAAGAGGGCGTTTTGTTATATTTTTGTTCTAACTGATAACGTCAGTCGCACTACTGATTGTGCGAGAGACTCATTACGCTATTTGATTACGTCAGTGATCTTTGTGACTCAACGAGTTATTATCGGTCCTTTTGTAAATTTTGCGTTCACACCACCATGTCTAGCTCTTGCTACGTGGTTCTATAATGCACCTAGCTCAAAGTCGTTTTAATGGATAAATCACCCTTGTGATTCGCTGTGGTTATATAATTGCAATAACAGTATGCCATTGTGAATCTTTCGTGTACATAACAAGTGCCACCGTTTGTATATACGCCATACATTTTATTGTTTTGTTTTGCGCATCCTATTGTGCCTTGGCACCCTCTAACTTTTGTACCTGTACACGCTCTTAGTGTTTGGCCCTGTCCATTCCTGAAGTACTTACTTATGAAGCGACTACCCTTGTAGTCTGTGGATAGTGGATAAGAATACTTCCACGGCCTCCCTGCCATTTGTAAGAGGCAACTAATGAATTTACGTTAGGTCGAAAGAAAATTTCTGTCAAATAGTATGAGGTGTCCCGAACAATACTTAGGCGAATTGTCCCATCTCGGATGTACGCGGGGACAACGGGTGAGAGGGAATAAAGTAGTTAAAAACCGAAAAGGCCTATGAAATAAAGTGTTTGATACCAGCCGGACAATTTGTGCAGTAGCTGTTTCACCAGTCATGTGCCAGTCACGGCAAGTGACGTCAATGGCTGAGGAGAGTTAACTGTGAACGAGATTATACTACTAATATCCATCCTAAGTAGTTGTTAAGTGCGGAGAGTTGGCTTTTCATGTAAATGATCTCCACTTTTGGACGTACAACGTGTGAAATAACATCAATAACTTATCAATCGTACCGTGTCGAAGTGGAGATTGGTGAACGACAATTCATGATACTGCTCATGTACTTTCGATGGTAAACGGGCGATCAGCATAAGATGTGTTGTTTTTGATAAAACTATCAAATCATTACATGTAAAGACTGGTATTAATGCATAGTGTGGTACAAAAGTGCATTTAGCACTGGTCTTTATTTACTTTGCGTGATTTTATGCCAAGCCGACTATCTCGAAGAGACATTTGCGGCGCGGTAACCTAAGACGTGATAAACACTGACGTAATCGCTAATATTTGGGACCTATTGTCCACTAACAAACGCTGGTATTGCAAACACACATGACATTAATAGCCTATAGTACGGTACTCAGTGCATACGAGACACATTTCGTCGGCGTGTCACCTATTCGATCATCACTTGACAAAGTCGATAACGTAGTTTGATCCACGTGCAAAATTATGTAGTGTTTTTTCTCTACTTATTACACACCGAGTTTGAAATGCATGACGATGTAACATGATTTGGTTTGAGACACAAAAAACATAATTGGTGCACAGAAACATGTTCATGCCTTTTCTGAACAGAAATTTTTTGAAAGGTATAGCACCGATATAAAGAATGAACAATTTTTTGACAGTAAAAAACTAATTTTTTATTTTAAACAGTAGGCTCAACATTGTTAGATGCAGCGGTGGTTAATGAATTTTTGGCGACTGCGAATTTTTGCTGTTAACACTCTTTTGTTTTCACTTCTGTCGTTAAGTGGGTCCCACGCTTTTTAATAATGGGCTTCCGTAATTGGTATAGATTTTACAACGACGAGCACAGAGCCATATAATCATGACAAAAGAAAATGGAATCGCCTAATTTTATTGGAATTGACGTGCACAATAAAATCAAATGTATCACGGAAAGTAGTCCAGTCTGCGATACTACCATCAAATTATAAATCATATTGGCATACATGAGAATTGGTAAGTGTAGCAACAGCCATTTGCGGTGTGATCTCTTTTTGAACTGGTAATGCAGCAGCACTAAAACATGTTATTTCATTTCTTCGGTAACCGTCGAGTCGACCCTATAGAATTTTTCGACGCGATCGAGTTTAACTAAAATGCTTACAATTGCGTATCGTTGCTGGTGAAACCTGTTTTTAAGAACACTTAATAGATTAACCTGTTCTTTAAGGCTAATTTTTGACGTAACCTTAATGATGTATTTATGAATATCAGCAATCGACTTAAGAGACATGTCCCATAAATGACGTGCTTCAATGAGAGCCTTTTCTTCTTGATTTATTTTAACATGCTTCGAAGCCATGATTAAAATGGATAATATCCAAGCTCGAAGGACCAACGTATGCAGCGTCCGGTAATACTAACGCGGGTTAGTCAATGTTAGTTGTTTTTTTGTTTTGAATGAATGGAATGTATTTAAAGCATAAAAGTAATTAAAAAGCATTAAAACAAATCAGAAAATATACATATAAATGGATAGGGTACGCACTTAACACCAATGCCACAATGGCACTAAGATAAACAATAAGATTAATGAATAATAACAAAACAATATGTATAATAGATTTATATTTACATTGACGACGATGACTGGTTGATGTAACTGAAAGGCGAATGAAGTCGTTGGTAGTACGCAGAAACCAATCAAACCGTACGTAGTAAACAATACTTCACAAGGTATATATACTTAATAATTGCATAAGCCATTAATTTTAATTTGATACGCAAAATCAAGAGCATATCATCAGGTAAACTCTAACGCACAGGGATGCAGACATCGCAAGATCGGTATGTTAGCTTGTGGCAAATACAGGCAAAGATGGCAGCTACAACATTAGTACAGAAAACAACATACGGCCAGGAACTCGGTGCCATACAATTACAACTATTATCTAGTTAAAAATACTACCCTCAAAAATTGTAAAAATGTCCACTTTACGAATTAAAAAGTTACTTAGCCTACATTCTCCATATAAACAATTAAAATCATCCATTTTTAAAGTTTTTAAAGTATTTACTGTCGAATTAAGTTTGATATGATAATAGGTCTCGACTATTAAATAAACTAAATGTACTTTGTAATAAATTAATTATTTAACTTTATTTGTGTGTGTTATTAACAGTTTATAATATTCCAATTTTTTTTTAAACATGTTAAATATATCACAAATAAAAAAAAAAAGATTTTTAGTTTCACTTAAATTTAACAAAAAATTTTTACAATTATAATTAAATTTTATAATACGCTCAATTGAATAGATTTTTTAACAATATTTTGATTGATTTTTTTATTCATTAAATCATTGAGATTAATTAATTTCTAAAAAATTTCAATTGTAAAATCTTTTTAAACGCCAAAAATTACTAAGAAATGGTAACAATTATTTCTATTTAAGTGATCTAATACAATAAAAATGAGAAAAAATATTGATATTTTCTGATAAATTTACAGTAAATAGTAATTATAAAATTTGTTTATTAATTTTTATATATTTTTGCCATATAAGTAACAAATACTTTATAATATTATATAAACAAAAAAATTACAAAAATAAATTGTTAAATATCAATTTCATACTACGTTAAATTGTTTTAATATATATATATATATATATACTAATAAAGCAATTACTAATTAGGAATAATGATAGAAATAGGAGTTAATTTTATTTTAGGATTAATCCACCAA